CGTGCCTTGTGATTGGTTAATACATGTTTATTATGTTATTGCTCTGGTGTGAGTATGATATGCTATGGAACTTGGTATGTCATGTTATGTTGTAATTATGATATATACTATGTTATGAAGTATCACGTTGACCGACTATGTTATGGAAAGTGTTATATCATTTTACCTATTATTTTATGAGATGACATGAAATTATTAAGCTACGTCTAAGAAGAATGAATGATACAATGTTTCTGTCATTTTTGTATATTACATTCATCAAAATACTTTCTCATTGGTACAATGTTAAAATTTTGCAATTTTATCAAAAAACTTAATGTAATTTTGATTGAATTATTAATGATTTGCATTGAATTTTTTTTTGTGTAAAACTATTTGTGAGAGGTTTATAAGTTTATAAACCTATAAGGATTTGAAAAAATTGTTACAAATAGTTAGCCACCAAAGTCACTTAAATGGGTGATCAAGATCATTGTATGCGATGAACCTCAGGTTTATTGTCTAGTTCCATAAGGGGATTCAGAGTATCGTTTTAATCATCCCGAATAGTTCATATATTATGAGCTGATTGTGTTTTTCGAATAAAGTTCAAAGTGTTGATTTGTTATGTTTACATGCATCTCTTCTGAAATATTTTTAAAGCGGTACACAAACATGTTTTTGTTTTTAAACTCAATATTCGAATCTGAATACAAACCGTCTTACAAGCTCGCATACCGCCACATGGATGTCTAGGAGGACTCGAGAGCATTGATCATCGGGCACAGGATCCCGCCCAAGCAGATCCATATTGGTTATCATATTGATTGGTACTTCTTCTTTTGAGCCGGGCATGAAGATTCTTTGGTTTTAAATCTTGATCTTCATTTTATGGAATCACCAACATTAAATTATATAAAATATTCTTGAATTTTAGGATGTATATTTTGAAAATTTTCTTGAATTATCTACTTTTCAATTATATATATATCTATATATATCTATATATATATATATATATATATATATACTCAATAACTCTCAGTTTTTTAAATCATTAATTCTTAACATTTAAGAAATTGTACACTTTCCATTGAACAAACTTTTTCATTATTACATTGATTTCACTTTGTAATTATTCTTTTCCAAAAAAGACTTAGAGATTGATATTTATAAAATTTACGATAAGAATCGGATTAAGAATTGGCATCGGATGACCTTAACATTTTCCTACATTCCCTCTGACACCATTATATTACATATTCGTTGCTTCTAAGAATGAAGAATATGATCAATACGAGTTCTTCTAACATGTGTTTGTTCTCACTCAGAAAAGTGAACTTTGTTGGTAGAGGGAGTGACTCTCAATTCTTATAAGCTTTTTTTAGCAATCTTATCCTCTCTCGTTCAAATGTGGTTTCAATTCATTCATGTACCCCTCCTTTACTTAAATGTCACATGTTTACCAGCTTTCGTCTTCCTCTGATATCATTTGTAACACCCCGAGGATTTGGATCATGATTTGAAATATCATGTCCAATACTAAAAATAGATTTGATGGTAAAAGTGTTAAGATTATCCCTACTCGAAATATCATGTGATACCGAGTAAATGAGGGTTACATGAATAAATCGATACCATATTCGAATGAGAGAGGTATTGAGGATAAGTGTGATGTCCCACAACGATTGGGGAGGAGAACAAAACACTCTTTATAAGGGTGTGGAAACCTCTTCCTAACCGACTCATTTTTTTAGGGGAAACCCGAAAGCGAAAGTCCAAAGAGAATAATATTTGTTTGTGGTGGGTATGGGCTGTTACAAATGGTATCAGAGCGTGATGTGCCGGTGAGGAGCTTTACCAGTAAGGACGTTGGGCCCTAAAGGGGGTGGATTGTGATGTCCCACACCCTTTAAAAGAATTGAAAGTTATTACCTATACCAACAATGTACATTTCTTTTTGGTGGTTTAATCATATGAATTTCAAGGTTCAACGTGTTTTGCTTGGAGAAATTTTATGTTCGTTGACCATCTAATATACATTTCTTTTTGGTGGTTTAATCATATGAATTTCAAGGTTAACGTGTTTTTATTAGAGAAATTTTATGTTCGTTGACCATCTAATAATTTTTCTAGGATGCATATGAGTGAGGATAATGAATGCAAGAAGAACTGGTATTGATCTATTAAGATATTCTTCACTTAAAGTTAATATATATATATTTAAAAAAAATTGAAACCATAGTGCCATGAAACAAGGAAAAAATAGAAACTTTATTTATTTATTTATTTTTAAAGTTGGATGCTTTTTTAATCTCAATGGTCTCCCCATCATTCAACCCTCAAACCTCTTCTTTCATTTGTCATCAAAAAGTCCCTCATTATTACACACACACCAAACCAAACATATACATTATAATTTTCCCCCTCACATATATTTAATTTCTTTTTTAGCATAAAGTTCATATTTATTATATTCATTTTTCATTTTACAATTAAATTATAACTTTTAATTGAAAAATATTTTAGACTTTTGATTGGATTTTTTTTTTTTTTTTTTTTTTTTTTTGAGATCCTACCTCGATGGTAAAGGATAATAAAATATTCTTTATAAGGGTATGAAAATCTTTTACTAGTAAGGGTATTTTAAAAACGTGAGACTGAACAATGATACTTAACTGGCCAAAGTGAATAATATCTATTAGTGGTGGGCTTGGGCTGTTGTAAATGGTATCAAAGCTAGACACGGAGCAGTGTGTCAACGAGAACGCTAGACTCCTAGTGGAGGTGAATTGTGAGATCCCACGTCTGTTGGAGAGAGAAATGAAACATTCCTTATATGGGTATGGAAATAAATATATGCTAGTGGTGGGTTTGAGCTGTTACAAATGGTATCAGAGCTACACACCAAGTAGTGTGTCAACGAGAACGCTAGACCCCAAAGGGGGTGGATTGTGATAACCTACATCGGTTGGAGAGAGAAACGAAACATTCCTTATATGAGATGGAAATAAATATCTGCTAGTGGTGGGTTTGAGCTATTACAAATGGTATTAGAGCTTGACACCGAGGAGTGTGTCAACGAGAATGACCCCCAAAGGGGGTGAATTGTGATATCCTACATCAGTTGGAGAGAGGAACGAAACATTCCTTATATGGGTATGGAAATAAATATCTGCTAGTGGTCGGTTTGGGCTACTACAAATGATATCAGAGCTAGACACCGAGTAGTATGTCAACGAGAACGCTAGACCCTCAATGAGGGTGGATTGTGAGATTCCACATTGGTTGGAGAGAGGAACGAAGCATTCCTTATATAAGTGTGGAAATAGAAACCTCTCCCTAGTGGACGCGTTTTAAAACTGTGAAACTGACGGTGATACGTAACGGACCAAAGATGACAATGTCGGCTAGCGGTTAGCTTAAACTATTAATTTTTTAAAAATAAAAAATAATAATTTTCCTTTTTTTAAAAAAGGTAGGGATCTTAGTGGGTTGCATGTTCCATTAAACCATTGAAAAAAAGAAATCCAAACAATACCCACCAAACACATGTATTCCATATTTTAAGCTGATTTTTTCATCATCATCCTCATATTCTCAAAACATTATATTCCTTTGGTTTAAATATAATATATAGTATGAATATGTGTTTAATTATAGTGAATTTAACTATAATTAATTAAAATGTATAGTTATTTATTAGTTGTACCATTTTCCAATCATTAATTCCACATTGCTATTTATCATAAATAGTTGTATATTTCTTATATATTAAAATAAATATATTTGAACTCATCGCTAGCAAATATTCTTTTCCTTTCAGGCTTCCTCGGAAGGCTTAAAATATGTCTGCCAGGAGAAGGTTTCCACACCCTTATAGGTGTTTCATTCTCCTTCACAACTAAGGTGGGATTCTCACCAATCATGTCTAAGGATTCGAATTATGATTTAGAATCTGAATTTGACACCTGACATCTTCGACACTTCCTAATGATCCATATTTAGGATTCGAATTAGGATCAAAAATCTAAATCTAGTACCTATGTCCTCAACCTTCCTTAACAATCCATGTCTAGAATTCAACTTAGAATCTAGAATCTAAATTTGACACTTGATGTCCCTAACATTCTCTAACGATCCATGTTTAAGATTCGAATTAGGATCTTGAATCTGAATTTGGCACCGGGTGTCCCTAACATTCTCGACTTGTTTTTGAAGCAAATATTTGAATTTGTGATCTTACCCAACAATAAACCAAAATTCTCCTATTTCATAATTATTTCGTTTTTAATTTTTAAATTTACGAATGAGTTTTCTTATCTTATTATCTGTTTTTCCGCCTAGGTTAGTAAAATCAAGCCAAATTCTCAACTTTTTTCCACCCAATAGTCATATACTGCTAACTCGTTGCTGTTGCCTTTGCTTACATGATATATAACACCGTTTTCAATCCTCACTAAATCTTGCTATCAAACTCTCTTTCAAAGATCTCTTTGCCTCCATTTTACAGAACATTCTTCTTAAATCGGGGTCAAAGGCTCGAACATACGTTACTTAGTCGTAAGCGACGCATAAACAAATTCACTCCTAAGAAGGCAAAAAAGAATTATTTCTATTTTTTAAATTTGGATAAAATCTCTAATGTTTTATTTAAAAAAATAAAACAAAAACAATTTCTAGAAAATATATATAAAGAAAAACCCATCAGCCAAATGGTAATTAAATGGAGTTTTAGTTTTCAAAATAGGACATATTTTTTAAAATATCAGTAGAAACTATATAATAAAATAAATAAATTTATAAGTAAAAATGACGTTTATAAATTTATTTTAAAAAAATAAAATAGTTAAATTAGTGCAATTTAACCAATTTTTTAAATAACCTCATCTGAAATAGGCCAGAAAATGGAAGCTGGAGAGCATAGGGCAGAGGGAGGAAGACGATGAGTGAACCAAGATAAGAACAAAACAACACCTAATATATTCACTGCCTAATTATTACCAATCATTAATACACGCTTTCCCCTTCACGCACCCTTCTTTTTTGGTTGAGGTTCTTGCAAAACATCACCGAAAATATGTTTTAATCCATCCACCCACCGTTCCCAATTTTCCGTGCCCTTCATTTTTGGCAAATTTTAGTTTCAAACCCTCACTTTCATTACCTTTAACCCCATTTCCCCTTCCCCCATTTTCTTCATTTGGATTAATCTTTCCCCGACAAGGGGGGATTTTCAATCCGGATTTTCTTGCCTTCGATTCTTCTCTGCTTCTCTTTCTACAGGAATTAGGTCAGTTCTTGATGAAGCAGAAAGAAATCGAAGGTTTTCACTCCCAATTCCGCTTTAATCCTTCATAATCGTTAATGGGTGTTTCTGTTTTCGATCATTTCATTGATTTCTGAGTTGGGTTTTGGAGATTGAAGATTTTCTTGAAGAATTTCCAAGTGGGGTTCGTCGATTTTGAAAGTGGAGAGGTTCTGAAAGAAATTCTGGCTTTGGGTTTTCCCTTTTGTTCTTTTACCTTCTTCGCTTGATTATCACTAGGGGGTTATGTAAGGTTGTTTTCTGCATTGAAATTGCTAGGTTGTATATTTCTGTGAATGGGTTTATTCTTGCACATACAAAAGTTTAGGTGAGGTTATCAGATATACCATAGATTGGGAGAGAAATCTTTGGGGAAAGATGAAGTTTCTAAGCCTTGTTGGGAATTCCTTTGGGTGTTCTGCATCTGGGGAACGTTTAGTTTCAGCTGCAAGAGATGGAGACTTGCAAGAAGCTAAAGCTTTATTGGAATATAATCCTCGTTTGGCGAGGTACTCAACTTTTGGTGTACGAAATTCTCCTCTTCATTACTCTGCAGCTCATGGCCACCATGAGGTATTTCACTTTTCAAAAATGTCTCTGTTCTGCTTAGAGATTGTTCCAAATGTCTTTCTGATGGTGTCTTGACTTACTCTTTAACATCTTTGTCTGCAGATTGTTGCTCTTTTGCTTGAATCTGGGGTTGATATCAATCTACGGAATTATCGGGGTCAGGTACGAACAATGTCGTTGTTTGTTGCTCGTTGTTCTCGTTTAGTTTCTTTATGTTTGTTCCTCAATGTGATGTTTTGTTTCATCCATTCATGAATTCCAATGCGATGTGTAAGAGCCTAAGCTTACCGATAGCAGATTTTGTCTTCTTTGGGTTTTTCCCTTTTGGGCTTTTACTCAAGGTTTTTAAAATTCGTTTGTTAGGGAGAGGTTTCCACACCCTTATAAAGGGTGTTTCGTTTTCCTCCCCAACCGATGTGAGATCTCATAATCCACCCCCCTTCGAGTCCCAACATCCTTTCTAGCACATCGCCTCATATCCACCCCCTCCCTTCGGGGCTTAGCCTCCTTGTTGGCACATCATCCGGTGTCTGGCTTTGATACCATTTGTAACATCCCAAGCCCACCGCTAGCAGATATTGTCCTCTTTAGGGTTTTTCTTTTGGGCTTTCCTTCAAAGTTTTTAAAAAGCGTCTGCTAGGAAGAGGTTTCCACACCTTATAAAGGGTGTTTCGTTATCTTCCCCAACCGATGTGGGATCTCTCAATCCACCCCCCTTCGAACTCCGGTGTTGGCACATCGCTTTGTGTCTGGCTTTGATACCATTTGTAACAGCCCAAGCTCTCCGCTAGAAAATATTGTTCTCTTTGAGCTTTTTCCTTTCGGGTTTTCCCTCCCGGTTTTTAAAACGCGTATGCTAGGGAGAGGTTTCTACACCATTATAAAGAGTGTTTCATTCTCCTCCCCAACCAATGTAGGATCTCACACTATGAATGAACTATGACCCTTTGTTACATGCTATTATTTTTTGTTACAACAATCTGTGAACAGGTGAGTTATGTTCAAGTTGCCTGTGTGTACTATTGTTAAGAGTTCGAAATTGAATGTTGTTTTTGCTAACAGACTGCCTTGATGCAAGCTTGTCAGCATGGTCACTGGGAGGTTGTTCTGACTCTTATACTTTTTAAAGCCAATGTGAGCTATACCTCCCTTTAGTCTTAGTTCCACCTGTTCTAATGTTCTATGAAGTAGTTTGTGGGATAAGTTAGATAACGTTGTCATATATTTCTTTGGGAGACATCAGATTCACCGAGTGGATTATTTGAACGGAGGTACTGCTCTTCACCTGGCTGCTCTGAATGGTCATTCTCGGTGCATCCGACTTCTGCTTTCTGATTATGTGCCTAGTACCCCAAAATTTTGGGATATGTTAAGTAGTAGGTCGAACGATGAAGAAACGGTTTCTAAGTTTGACTTTAGGTATTGTTGTTTGAATCTAATTCTGGCCAGTTATATACTTCTCTATTCTGCTACATGAAGTCACTGATTTGTTTTCCTCCATTTCATCCATCAGTGGTCTAAAGGAGGTAGTTAACAGAACAGCGGATGGAGGCATCACAGCTCTGCATATGGCGGCGCTAAATGGGCACGTCGATAGTTTGAAATTACTTCTGGACTTGGGTGCCTCTGCTTCTCAGGTTACCGTAGAAGATGGAACCACCATCGATCTAATAGGTAACTCGGTTTTTAGTTCGTGTTTTTTGTTTCTCTTATGCTGTTCTTAGTGAATATGAGCTGTGATATGATGAAGGGGTTAATTGAACCTTGTTTTTTTTATTGTTTCTCATTACTGAAAAGCCTAAAGTTATTGAAGTATGTTCTGTTCTTTAGTTTAAATTGTGTTCTATTAGAGCGCTGATCCTGAGAAGATCCTAAACACAAAAATTGGACTGCTCTGTATCTTGCATCTAGTTTTACATTTTAAATTTAATAGATTTGTGAGATCCCACGTTGGTTGGAGAGGAGAACGAAGTATTCCTTATAAGAGTGTGGAAACCTCTCCCTAATAGACACGTTTTAAAACATTGAGGGGAAGTCCAGAAGGAAAAGCCTAAAGAGGACTATATCTGCTAACGGTGGGGTTGAGTCATTACAAATGGTATCAGAGACAAACACGAGGCGGTGTGCCAGTGGGGACGCTGGGACCCCAAGGGGGGTGGATTGTAAGATCCCACATTGGTTAGAGAGGAGAACGAAGCATTTCTTATAAGGGTATGAAAACTTCTCCCTAGTAGATGTGTTTTAAAACTTTGAGGTGAAGCCCAAAAAGGAAAGCTCAAAGAGGACAATATCTGTTAGTGGTGGGCTTAGGCTGTTAGAAATGATATCAGAGCCAGACACAAGGTGGTGTGCTAGTGGGGATGCTGGGCCCCATGGGGGGTGGAGTGAGATCCCACATTGGTTGGAGAGAAGAACGAAGCATTCCTTATAATGGTGTGAAAACCTTTCCCTAGTAGATGCGTTTTAAAACCTTGAGGGGAAGCCCAGTGAAGGGAAAAAGTCTAAAGAGGACAATATCGGCTAGTGGTGGGCTTAAACTGTTACATGATTATTGTTTGATACCGTAATTTTTCTTATAGAATTTTAATGTCATTACATCATGTTATGGAGTTGGGTATGTAATTTCCTAAAAGGCAATCATTTGCTCTCAAACATGTTCATTGGTCACGCTTTTCTTTCAAAACAGAGTCTGCTAGCTATGATTAGTCCGTTTGTAGCTGAAAAAGATTGGTTCTTCAGGCTTTCTTCTTAAGTTGAATATTAATTCCCTTGGGATGATTATGTTGTCATATTTAGGTGCTGGAAGCACAGCCCTTCACTACGCTGCATGCGGTGGGAACACCCAATGCTGTCAAGTAAGCCCTCGATTTCAAGACTAAACGAAAACGATTAGAACGTTTCAAAATTCAGACCCATAATTCTCTAGATCAAACTTGAAATGATTGTTTGTGAATGTTTTGGTTTCAGATGTTGATTGCTAGGGGAGCCAGTCTTGCCGCTCAGAATGCAAATGGGTATGCTTCTCTCAAGTATTCGTATGCAAATGTAACTCTTTTTAAGTATGGTGATTTGTTGTTATCATGGCTTGTGAGATCCTACATCGGATGAAGAGGGGAACAAAGCATTCTTTAATAAGAATGTGGAAACTTCTCCCTAGCAAACGTGTTTTAAAAACTTTGCGGGAAAACCCGGAAGAGAAAGCCCAAAGAGGACAATATCTGCTAGCGGTGGGCTTGGGCGGTTACAAATGGTATCAAAGCCAGACACTAGGCGATGTGCCAATAAGGAGGTTGAGCTCCGAAGGAGAGTGGACATGAGACGATGTACCAGCAAGGACATTGGGACCCGAAGGGGGGTGGATTGTGAGATCCCACATCGATTGGGGAGGAGAACGAAACACCCTTTATAAGGGTTCCCTAGTAGAGCGTTTTAAAAACTTTGAGGGAAAACCCAGAAGGAAAAGCCCGAAGAGGGCAATATCTGCTAACAGTGGGTTTAGGCTGTTACATGACCTATCCATCTCATAGCCTTCATTTTCGCCGATTGATTTTCATTTTGATTCCCATCGTTCCCATTCTTGATAAATAAACGCACCTCAGACGCTGGCTCGATAGTAGAATCTAGGCTAGATAAAACAATGAAGATCATAAATAAAACAATATTTTTTAAAAAAATTTCTAAGCATTATTTAGTTCTATTGTCTTACCCAATAAACTTGAGGTTGTCAGATCATCCTATGTTACTTTTATCTTATTGAAGATGGACTCCATTGATGGTTGCTCGTTCGTGGCATCGAGACTGGCTCGAGGAAGTTCTTAGCCAAGAGCCTGAAGTGGCAGCGACAAACCTCGCCCCTTCACCATATCTAACTCTTCCCCTTATGAGCATTGTTAGAATTGCTAGGTGAGTCGTGCGCGACCAACATTATTAAAATATCTACTGACATCGTTCTTTACTCGTGACCGATAGGATTGTTAGAAAGCTTTATGATTACTAACTCAGAGAAACCCCTTCGATTTTTTTTCAGAGAATGTGGATGGAGAAGCTGTGATGCTGTACTTACATGCCAAGATCCATGTGTTGTGTGTTTGGAGAGAGAATGCACGGTTTCTGCACGAGGTAAATTTGATTCGAGAAGACTTGCTTACGGTTTTAGCGCCTTATAATTCGTTAAGTTGACGCACGTGATCCCAAACGGTTCAGGTTGTGATCATGAGTTCTGCACAAGCTGTGCACTTTACCTCTGTTCTACAAACTGCACATCATCTGTTTCTCACGGTCCTCCCGGTTCGATCGCGTGTCCACTGTGCCGAAACGGTATAGTTTCCTTTGTCAAACTTCCCCAAACGAAACCGATTGCCAAAGAGATTGCCAGAACTAGTTTATCTCTATCATTTTGCACTTGTTCTGGTGAGGCACCAGAACCTGCTACATTAACCACCCCGTTATGCAAGCCTGAGTTCACTTGTTCCCGAATTTCCCCGCTCGGAGCATCGTTTCGATCCCTCAGCTGTCAGAGGTTTCCTTCAATGAAACTCAACCCCAATCTCTGTATGGGAGATCCTGAAGGTAGCTCTTCTTTGGTTCCCTGCAATGTTGACAGAAACATGAGGAACAATAATATTGCGAGGTGTTCGAGATCAGGTTTCCGACGAACAGCTTCGGAAGGAAGACGATCATGGTTATCTGCACTGAATCAATATGTTACTACTGGAAGTGGATGCTGAAATTATTGATGACAATACCTCTTTTCAACTCGAAAACATTTCCTTTTACTTTGTGTTCGGTGTCCATATATTTACCCAAAATCCGAAAAAAATGAAAAAAAAGATACGAAAAGAAAAGATCATAGTCTTGAAATGATCTTATATATGATCATTTTGATGCCACATAACATGTCCAGCTCAATTTAGTTTTCAAATATGAGTCTTATTTTTTGTTTTGGTAATATTGATGAATGGGTTGTAAATATATAATGAAAAGTTCTTGTATTTGAAATAATTTTGTATGAACATGAGATGTTAAATTATAAGCTAAATGAAATGTGTTATCTAATTTGCTTTAAACTATACTGTTAGCTAAAAGATCAGAAGTTCGAGTTTCAAGAAATTAAAAAATATAGTCAATTACTTCAACTCTTTTTCATATTAGTATGGAGCTCGAGAGGAATGAGCAAATTAGTAAGACAGGCATATTGAACAAGATATGTAACAAGCTGACGACGAGATATATAACAGGCTAAAGCAGACAATCTTCTAGCGGTGGGCTTGTACTGTTATAAATGATATTAGAGTTAGACATCTTACGGTGTGAGGCACTAACTATGAGGCTGACGACGATACGTAACGGGCCAAAGCGCATACCCCTTGCGCATACCCCTTAATCAAGGCTCGACCCCTTTTTTTGAAGCTCACAAATACTTTTGTTCGACATTTAAAGATTCTATTGACATGGTTGGTAGAAATCACTGATGTCTCATGACTTTGCTTTGGGCTTTCTCAAAAGGCTTCACCAATGGAGATGGTATTCATTGATTATAAACCAATGATCATTCCATAAATTAACCATGTGGGAATTTTCGTCCAACATGGGGAAGAGAGAAATTGAGAAAGAAAGTGCTTGAAAACTTGAAAAACTTGATCAATCCAACTCAATTTGTATAGTTTAGGTTAAATTATCAACTTATTTAAGTTGGGTTAAGCTCAAATGAACGAAAATTTTATAGGTTGAGTTAGTTCTTGAGTTTCAATTGACCAATCTAAATTTATTATCAATTTAAAAAGTATATACATTTACTAACAATACAATTATATATACATATATTTATTTAATTTTATAATTAAACAACTCATTCCTCGTGACCGTGCACTAGCCCATATTCAGACTTAGGAAGTACGTTAACAAGACTATCTACTAGTCCACGTACATGTGTGTGGGTCATATGCAGAGAAAGTCTTATACATCTAACACTGCTCGGATTAGATAGTCGAGCTCAAGAAGAATTTATGAAAATTAGATCTAACCAGTCATGATCATGTTGCATGTAATTACATTTCTTGACCTTAACAGTAGAATCATTTATTGAGTATTTTTAAAACAAGTGTCGCGTTTAACATTTCTCCAAGAAAAAAAAAGGACCCACGATAATTTACGACATTAACTAAGGAGAACAAACAATCAAAGTCATAATTAGATAATTTTACATTTAAGAATCCAAATCAAAGTCGTTTGCACTCGTATTAAGGCTACAAATCAAGTCATAGTTAAAATGGACATTAAACGCGATTTTAATTTGTTACGATTTAAATCTTATTAAAAAGCATAAAATTAGGTCCAATAATGAATTCTCCCAATTATACAATACTTGATCATTACACTTGAGGACAAATGATTTTGAAAAAAAAAAAGACAAAAATAAAAATATATAAAAATTAGATAATATATTTTATATTTAATTTTAGGTGAGATGTTTAAATCTCCACCACAACTAAATAATAATAATAATAAATAAATAAATTTTAAATATTTAATCAGATATTAATTATAAAAATATATTTCTTATTTTTCTAATATAAAATTTTTATAAAAAATTTAAATATATATTTTAAAAAATTATTTTTCAAATAGTGTTGCCTAATACAATAAATATAATATTCCATAAAAACATCTTTTGATTCAAATTATAAAATGGAAAACTCACTTCAATATGGATGACAACTAAGTCTTAACCCCATGCTGTTAGATTCTACGTTCCTTAAAGAAAGAAATTAAACATTTCTTATAAGATCTAGAAATCTCTCCTTAATAAACGTGTTTCAAACCCGTAAAACTTACGATGATATGTAATGGGTCAAAGCGGACAATATCTACTAACGGTGGGTTTGAGCTATTACAAATGATATCAGAGTTAAACATCGAGAAGGGTGGATTGTGAGAACTCACGTTAAACTAAACAAAACAAAGAATATGAAACAAGAACATGATGTTGACTAGTGGCTCTCAAATATTCCAATCAAATCGATGGTTGAGAATAGTTAATCTGACCCTACATCAAAATATATAAAAAACAGGAAACATTGAACGAGAGTGAAATGTTACCTAATAGTCTCTTAAAAACTTCAATCGACTTAATGCTCGAGAATATATACTTGGACCTACACGTGAGGTATAGAAGTGTTGATAATATGGGGGAATACAATGCTCTAGAAAGGAAAAAAGAAAGGAAAGTGAAGGAATTGATTGGGAGATTAAGAGTTAAGATTATGAAGAAGTAGAAGAAGAAGGTTTTGAATGGGATGGCGCCGTGCCGACTTACTTAGGTTGATATTGATAGCATAAAACAATAACTAAACACATTCATATCTATTCATATGTTCATCCCACCCAAATGAATAAGTAGACTTCTCAACGACTCTAAAAACTCGTTTATTATGACCCAACCCAATTTACGAATCATGATTTAGCTTTTATCGAATAATATTTATATTACCATAGTGGCAATTCGAACCTTTAACATACTCTCGTATGTCAGCTTGGAAATGATAAATTCTTTTTATTGTTCTTTTGTCTTTTTTTTCTTGATAAATATCGAATTGGTTGCGGATATATTCAAATTCTATCTCGTAGTATTCTAAAAATGAAAGATGAAGTCTTTCCTTGCTTTGTTATTGTTGAGGTTTCGAGGGACAGACCTTGAAACGAAGGACGGGAACAAGTGGAATCAATGTGTTCAAATTTCTGGTCTTGCACTGACCATCTAATGAACTATGGACTAAATAGCCACGGCTTGAAAGGACTATGTTAAGGGGATCGTTGCCCCCCCACACACAAAGTACATCTTGCGCCTATGGGCTGCTATAACTATCCAAGAAGACACTCGAACTTGGAAGGATAAAAAATCCACTTGGGAGACTGCCGAGCTACAAGTCCCACGACACAGGAGGGGGATTCTCTAAAAAAGTCAAGGTTGCGGGAGGCGAAGAGGGCGCACTTGGAGACTTGGGATCTCAACAGGAAATGCAAAGGTTGCAATAATAAAAGTCAACCGGCCGATAAGTAAAAGAGAATCTACTAATTGAATTCTGATTTGAATAGGGATTATTCATCGTATGAAAATTCAAGATTATTAATATAATCTTGAACAATATGTGGTTAACATATGAGGGAACTGTGTTCAATTACTAACCTCAAGGGTCTATGGTATACCGATATGAGTGGAGATATTCTATATAATGAGTTTGTATAAGAATGAATTTATAAAAAAATTAATTATTGCATAGTTCATCTACGACTCGATCTTAATCTTGAGTGAGTTATGAACTCTGTTTGTGAGGGTTTGTCGTAGATAAACCTTAGATTACAAATGCTAAAACTTCCACGATGATTTCATCCTTGTAACTTTTGGGAATTCGATCTAAGAACCTTTTTGAAGAACCAGACATTTAGATCTAAATATTCAATAACCTCACAACAATAAAATATCACTCTAAGAGAAAGTAAGATTTTGATTATTGTTGATCAAATATTTTAAGATAAAAAAACTAGTTTAAGATTTGAATCACTATAGGAGCAAAATCGATTCGGTCAAGTTTGAATGATTTTAAGTTGTGTAACTAATAAATTTCTAACTGACTAGACGTAAATTAAAAAATGTCAAAGTCATTTTGTATCTAATAATTTGTAAGTTGTTTAACATTTTAGAATACGTCACGAACTTATTAATCGGTGTGTATTATATGCATAAGTTATTAATGGGGTGTGTATTATATGCATAAAGAAAGTAGCTATTAATGTAGTGGGGTAGCTAGCGATAGCAATGAACTGATTGTCCAAAAATTTGATGAAAAACATGGTGTGTGCTAGCTGGTATGAATGAGATATCAACAACGCATTTAATCTCTTTCATATTCTCACTCCACTTGTTCATTTTCTTCCTTTCAATACACTATTCTTTTAATTTGAAGGCATTTGCGTAATAACATGTAATAAATAAATATTCTAACAAAATTTTAAATTTTAAGAAAATAACAAGTAATTGAACCAAAGATACGTATGACACAGAATAGACGAGTCAATGAGTAAAAGAGGATAAGAAATTTGACCAAAGACCAATTTAATCTCCTCGATCTCGACCTCCATTTGGTCTAGTTTGGTTCACTATTAATCTATTTCGTATAGAAAATATAAATAAATGCTAAAAGAGTTCTCGAACACATCCATATTTTCAACCTAAATATGAGATGTTATTCCTCAGGGCATCAACTCTTACTATACCCAAATTTTCTTAGCTAACTTAAGAATTGGATATTTCCTCGTAGTTCAATACTATATAGCTCTTCCTCAACTTACACTACTGACCATCAATTTGCTAAGGTTGAGTTTGTTCAACCTTAGACGAATGTGGTACTTCTGTCTATTCCTATGACACCCTAACTTCTTTATCGGCCAATGTCCTCCTCTATTCATCGGTAACAAAGACCTTTATTCAGTCATAGAAAAATTTCGTTGACTTCTGCTATACTTATTCAGTTCTGTCTAGTATTGGTCTTCTTACGGACCAAATAACATCAAAGGTCCTCCATATCGACCCTTCTGCCACTCCTGCCTTTAGGTGTGACTAAACATCGTGTTAAGGATATTTAGTAATAATTTATAGTTTACCATATATATTATATTTGATATTTTATTATAAGGCAAATATCTAATATTTGTCTTATTATCATAGGTATCTTTCTATTTATTGTTATTTCCATTTATTACTATTTCCATATCCTTGTAATTTATTTGATTATAAATAAGATAACTTTCACAC